CCTTATAGTGGGTTTTTCAAACAAATCATACCATATTTACATTTCAATCAATCTCACACAATTCAATTATCGTTTATCAATTAATAAACTAGTTAACACATAAAAGCACAAGATAGAATTTTTAGTTATCTTAAACCTTTGAGAGGTCAAAAGTTTCACTCCTCAAATAGTCACTCTCAAAGCTTCCAAGAAGCTTGAATGGTGCCAAAATGATTACTCTACAATAAGTCACAATGAAGTTCATTAATATCCACTTTCAGGCTAATACTTACTAGTAACTCAACACTTCTTCATACTCAAGATTCATTATCTACTCGTATAAAAATATACCCATAAGATTTCTTAGCTTTCTTTAACCCTCATTAACATCATTGAACTCTTTAATAGCCATTAATGAAACCACATTATCCTAACTAACACATTTATTAGAAATTTTTGGATATTAAATGCTCCCCAACCACCAAACCTCATACAACCATAAATACTAAGTTTTTTTAGCTCAATATACTCCCATTAACTCTATTTAAGTCAATAGCTTTGAACCTGTAGCCTATATAGACTGAAAATTATCATTATCAACCAAACCCTAACTTTTAATAATAAGAAAATGGAAGAAAAATGGAAGATTTAGGTGTAAAAAATTTACCTTTAATGTTTATGAGCTCTAAATTTTGGATTCCTTAAGCCCTAGTAGAGCATTTTAGTCCCTCCTTCATATATCTTTATTTCTTCCTCTTTTGTTACATCAGTTCACATTCTTATTTTACAAAAAAGTGTCCATGAGCCGTGACAAACACACAATGAGCCGTGATGCATGGCATAAAGAGCACCCCTCCAAGTGTGTCAGCACACACGCACTGCGGTGGCCTGATCCACAAGTCGCGATATGTAACACAAAGTCCTACTCTTCATATTTCTTTCCTCTTTTCATTCCTAAGTAGCCTGATTCTCCTTCAAACCTACTTTTAAAGATAAAATTAAAACCAAACACACTCGTTAGACCTCTTTGGCCATACACGTTACTAATAAACTCCCATTATTCTAATTCAAGCTTAATTAATCCAGTTTAAATTTGAGGATGTTACAATTTGATTGCCCATGGATTTAGTTAAAAGATGTTATGAGAGGAATAAGGATGGAATGCATATGATCATGCATAATTGTCACCATTGAATTAGATGCCATGTGATTAGTGAATAATAGTACTATGATACATGTTGAATACTAATAGAATGTTAAATGTAAATCCTTATCTTATGTGTTAATATTTGCCATACTTCTATACACATGGATTTATGTGCCTTAGTTATTGAGATTGTATAATCTCATACTCATTCGTTAAAATTTTTTTCTAGGTGAAGCTAAGTGTATGGCTAAGGAGAAGCAACAAAGACTAAAGACATGTAGATTTAAAATTAAAGTCTTTAGTTATTTTGTTTGTGTATTTGAATATTTATTATTTCCTACATTAGGGGTTGTACTTCTTAAAAAGTCCATTACATTTGCATGAGCCTAAATGTTGACTTGGCCAATCCTTGTTATAGCTTTCCTATATTTTTTGTAATATTTAGGAAAGTGTGTGATTTATGATTGATGGTTGCATCCTTAATGTATGTGAGTCTTAGCATGCTTATCTATAGATGTGGTTTATATATGGTTGTTATTTTGATTAATAACTAAGAATTGGGTGCTGGCACTTGGTTGATTGGATAATATGGCAATATATGGATGCATATAGTTCCAAGTGTCCAAAATCATCATTTGGCACTAGATTGAGGTGTAACTAGAGCCATTAGTTAAAGTATGTAATTGTCTATGTGCAAATGCTTGGATTGCCTTAATTGGAGATTTGAATTGAAAATTAAGTGCTCTAGAAGTTAGATTATTTTATTATCAATCTATACTACCTACTTGTGTATACCACAACATAATGTTCAATTGGTCATGGCAGATGTGGTTGTTTGTCCTAGCTATGGTAAACTATGCATTCGTGTCAAGTGGCCTTTATGCCACAAGCCATGGCATATGAGTGCTTAGTTGAGGTGAACATGTCCTGTTTTACTATAATGACTTTTTGGCCCTTGTTTAACTTGTTTTAATGCTCAAACTTTTTCCCATACTTTTGTAACTATTAGTACTTTGATTTTAGGTATTTCAAAGGGCCTTAAATTCTTTTTTTCAAATTTGAATTATTTTATAAATCCTATTTTATTCAAAGGTATTTTTGAATAATCTTTGAAAGTTGAAATAGCTATGGTTGATTCTATTTTTCATTGTTATTGTATGTAATCAAATTACTCTATCTAAATTGTTGTGGTTAAGTAAGGTTAATGATGAAGGTCATTACATCTATTTAGGCTAGAATTTCTCTTTGGTCATTGAGATTTCATATCTTAACTCTCATTCTAACATTTTTCAGGTGAGAGCTATAGCTCATTCTTAGCACACCAAATCAAACTAGTTTGACTAAGGTACACGGTCATTCTTTTGAACTCAAATGTCTATGGTTTCTCGCTAAGTGTCTTTAATGCATATATGGAGTTGTTTATTTGTGTTTTCTATGGGCTTGGCCATAGTAGGTTTGCTCTTCGTAGATAAAGCCTCCTCTTTTGCTATGGGTCATTTTTGTTTAGTATTGTAAGTGGATTTCTTTAGGGCAAGATCTTGGTTTGGCCTTGTTTTTGTGTTTAGTTTAGAGTTGTATGAATTTTTTTATGAGTTTTAATTAATCTTTATCTTTATTTTGAGGGGTATTATATTTAGGTATTAGAGCTAGTTTAGGCTCGATTAGTAGAGATTTGGGTGGCTTGTTAAGTGCACTTGACCATTCAAATCCATGCAGATGTGCCAGTCTTACTCTATATATAGTTAGAGATTTATCACTGAAAGTGTTTTGAATGTGTATTAGGGTTGAGTAAGCCTCTTGTAGTTGTTAGGCATAATTTGTGTAGGTTCGTTCTATTGTTGCTTTTGTGTCTGTGGTGATGTTTTAGTTGTAACCTTGCTTCGTAGATTAGTTTTTTTTTTTTTTTTGTGGAAGTGGCTAGCTTAGGTCTAGGTCTTTGATGGAATTGTTGATCCATATGTCAACCTCATATTTAAGCAAGCCTCAACATTAGGCATAAGTTCCATTCACCTTCATCAACCCATCAAAGACTATTTTTTATGACAAACTAACATAGAGCTACACTTTTTATGTTGAACCAATAGTAGTTACATTAAGTGGAAATGAGTTGATACCCTTTGAATAAGGTCATAGGTTTGAGCCTTGTCATTAGAAAAATATGTGAGCTTACTTTGATTTAGATATGACAATACTTTGATCTAACTCAAAAATACCATATACCAAATAGTCATGTAAATAAATATATAGATAGTTTATCAATAATTACAACATGATCTTAACACCTCTAAACTTCATTGAAAATACCCAAGCTCTTGTATTTCCATATATGACACCCTCTTATCTTCAAATTCTTGCTCACTAGGTAGACTAGTGAGGTTTACTTTGAAGTTTGAACCACCCATTAAGATCAATATTGAAAAAGTGTTGAAGTGTTAATATTAAAACTATGATCATGAAAATGCAATTTACACACTCTTAGAGTGAGTACTCTATAATTGCACATAAATTGGTTAATACTGTTAACAGTGATCAATGCTTGTTCGTGGTAGTCTACAATTGAACAATATAATGACTAGTCGTGGTTGGTGCTGGTTGACAACAGCTAATTGTTAACAATTGTGGTTAGTGATAGTTAACTATAACTGGATGCTAGGTTTAGGATCGTCACTCTCAATTAGCACATGTTGAAGGTTAGCAATGAGTTTGACACTTTTCCTCATAACCAACATTGGTCAGGCACAACAGCTCACTCCCTATTTGTCTTCTCATCTATTTGTGAGGGTGTCTTGGATCTGGCTAAGCTCAAATTTTCATGTTATTTTAGATCATCTTCATTCTAATTAAGCCTAATGGGCACTATAATTTAAATATCAAATAAGCAAAATCTCTTCATATAATGCTAAAATTTGCTACCATAGAAAATCACTTTCTACCTCAGTTCTTTTGATATATCTACATTACGTTTTGTTTGTTTGTTGTGTAAATTTAACTTATCAGTCTTCTCCTAAGAAATATATTCTTCTATATCTCCTCCACCTATTCTTCATTTTATTGATTATAAGATGATGTTTACAAGAATTTTCACCATAATCTTTTTTAATATTGATTAAGTGAAAAAAATTATTGATTTCTTATAGTGGAAGTTTCAATTAATGATTAAAATTTTAGAATATTTAATTTTTGATCCAAATAATGATAATTTTAAATAAATTTTTGTCACTCAATTGATCTGAACAGTTTAAAAATGTTGAATAAAATGTAATAACTAAAACGGCTAAACGACAAAATATAGTATTTTAAAAGAGATTACTTTTCAGCATAGAGAATCCAAATTCATTATAGCTCAACACAAATGATTGGTCATAATCTCAATCCCAACTTGACTATTTGTAGAGTGTTCTTTATGGCAGTAGGCTATTCAAATATCTAAATATTCTATCTATATTATAATATAGGATATTAATAGCTACTTTATGAATTTTGAAAAAATTAGAGACAATCTTAATCTCTTAAAAAATCGTACACCTTTTCAATTACATTATCATTAAATATCATAGATAAGTTTCTTAATAACAATAATTGAAATTTCAATGCATTATTTTAAAAAAAAAAGAGTAATAAATGAAAATATGAATATATTTGAAAAAAATTACAAAAACTATTTAATTCCCTATATTTTGGACTAAATTATGGTCCAGAGTAAGTATAAATTTTAGAAAAAGATATAATTAATGAGTTAAATGCTTTTCAAATGACAAAGTCAGGGAGATTTCAGTAAATAAAAAAACCAATATTAAAAAAAAATAACATCTTGGCTGGACATTCATCTATATATTGCACAAGCCTCATTTGTGTGGGTTCACATTTTAGGCAGTGCTCTCTTCCCTCTTCTCTTCTCACTTGAGAGATTTTCCTTCAGAGAGAAGAATACGCAGATACAATACATACATATGAAGCAGCCTGCTAGTTAGTTTATCAGAGAAAATCCAGAAATCAAGGCTGAGGAGAACAATGGGGAAAGGAAGAGCACCTTGCTGTGATAAAACTAAAGTCAAGAGAGGCCCATGGAGTCCTGAAGAAGACCTTAAGCTCATTACCTTCATTCACAAACATGGCCATGACAACTGGAGAGCTCTTCCTAAGCTCGCAGGTATTTGTCTTCGTGTTCGTTTCTAATTAATTTGGCCTAAATTCTCGTTCTTCCTCGTATGAGTCTTCACGGTTTGCAGTTTCTGTGCTTGTTAAAATGCATTCTTGCTCTGTGGCTTCTCCTTGATCTGCAGGGTATTCTGGTTTATGGCTTGAAGCTTAATTTGATTTTAACATTAAATAGTTTGTGGTTTTGTTTAATTATTCGTACTTCAAACATGAGTAAGCCATTTTTATACCAGCAAATGTATGGCTTCTCCGCAAAATTTCTTTGAGTCTTTGATTTTGAAGCTGTATTGTATTGGAGTTGTTTGTAATGAACGCGATTCTGTTCTTTTTTGTTCTGTTTCGAGCGTGGACAAGTATGCAAGTATTTTTACGGAAAACATAGTGATTTTTCTTTATAATTTCATGAGATTTTGTTTTTAATATTGATAGTTTTTTCTAGCATTTTCAATATAGAAACTTAAAACTGAAACCATAAGGACCTGAACTCAATAGAAATATATGAATCATTTATTATGTTTTCTCTATAGATTTTTTTTTTTTTAACCAACTGAGTCGGCATGGCTATTAGGGATTTTCATAATTTAAGTAAGTAATTAGGAATTTAAATTTTAACTTTGTGTGTATAATAACTTACTTGGGAGTAATCTACTAAAAAGTATGCAAGTATTTTTTTTAAAAAAAAATAATAATATATATGTACATGAAATATTTATTTCTTTTATGTTTGTTAACTTTATCATATTAGTTGGTATAAGCGATGTTCGAATGTAAGACTTAGGCAAATTTGCATTCCCCTATCACTATTTAAAACATTATTTGAGGAGTTTTTGTGCTGTGCAGAGTCTAAAAAATGAGTTGTATTATTTGCTGTTTGTAAATACTAAAAACTTGTTATTCATGTTGTAATATTAATATTGATTTACATCATTTAAAATGATGGTAAAATGTAATATTTTATTATGTAGTATTTTCTTTATTGGGTCAAATTGTGGGCCCCCCTTACCAAATTTTGGAATCTTGGACGGTTGGACCCCAGAAAATCAAATATAATAATACAATGTTACAGATGATGATGATGATGATGATGCCTGTTCACCTACCTAGCCGGCTTGAGTCTCATTCTGGATATGGGAAACTTCACATTTATTTAATATTCCTGTGTTATTCCGAAAATGACAAAAACTTAAAATTTCAATTTCTTTCTTTGATTTCTCTTGTTTTTATTTTTTTTTAATTTCCTTAAAAAGAGTTTCTTGAATACGTGTTTTACATTTAAATGTTTTTAAATTTGTTACATTATTTTAAAAAATAAAATTAAAATATCTCAAAGTTATATTTTTTATTTTAAAAATATATTATATTTAACTGCTAGAACCTGCGGTTACCAATGGTTATTGTCGGTGCTCCCCATCGCTTTGCTTGCCACCAACAACCTCCACTATTAGACATCACCAACAATCATCGCCAATTTGCCACTTATTATCACTACCAATTTCATTTTTTGTCGCCTCTAACAAACCATCTCTAATCATCGTTGACTAGTCACTATTAGCCATCGTTTATCATCATTAGTCATTGTCTACCTATTATCATTTTCTAATTGTGTAGTTAGTAAACAGTGGTGATTGGATAGCAAGATAACAAGGGATGATAATGGTCGATAATAATCAATAATAAATGGTAATCAATGGTGAAAAATATGTTTTCAAAAAAATTTAAATAAATTTTTAAACTCTAAAACTATTTTTAAATTAATGTACAAGAAAACATAATTTTCTTTTATTCTATTTCAGAAAACAAATTTTAAAAATTAATTCTTAAAATAATTTTGAAAAATGAAAACTAGGGAGAAAATCACACTACCCCTAAAATTCACTTTTATACTGTTACATTCTATTTCTTTGGGGTCCATGGGTCTGATCTATCTTTTATTCCATTTTGCATGATATTAATTAAATACGTGTACTGAAAATTTATTATTTTAAAATGAAAAATTAGAATACCAATTTTTATGTTGAAGATTATATTATGATATGAATTAGAAGAATAATTTGTGGCGTGGATATGGGCTTTAGGATTGGTGAGATGTGGAAAAAGCTGTCGCTTGAGATGGATCAACTACTTGAGGCCTGATGTGAAGCGTGGCAATTTTTCTAAGGAAGAAGAGGACACCATTATAAACCTTCACCTTGCCTTAGGAAACAAGTGAGCCTTCATATATCTCATATTCATATTTATGACATGGACTTAGACTTGACGACTAACCTTTTGATTTATAATATATTTATATATTTATTTGTTAATAGAATATAATTGCATTTTGTAATTCATATAACTGATTTACTTTATTTTTTTAAATCGAATTAGGTTTTTCTTTAGATGTATTTCTAAATGAAGCCCACTGATATGCGAAGCCTGCCAAAGCTTGTATTTTTTTTATTTATCTTTTTTACTCTTTTCACTTGTTTGATCCTGAACTTGGAGATAAACCTCCCAACTTTTGTTTAATGTTTTTTACCATCATTTTTGATAAAATATACTTGTGTTTGATCATAAACAACTTTATTTTGATCTAGGAGTTTAGCAGAATGTCTGAGTAACTTTGGTTCCCAACAAACTGGTTTCAGGTGGTCAAAGATTGCATCTTATTTGCCTGGAAGAACAGACAATGAGATCAAGAATGTTTGGAACACACACCTCAAGAAAAGATTGAAACCCAAGACATCACAGTCTAACGTTGCTGATGTCTCATCATCCTCTGAATCATCTTCTTCCTCTGAAAAAATGGAGCAAGACTCAGAGAAACAAGCTGCTTCCAAGGAACCCATCAATGGCGTCACAGAGGACCCAAAAGAGTCACCAGCCTCGTTCTCTTCTTCTGATCACTCATCAAAACCAGAAGAGGAAGGACAGATTTTGGAGTCTTTGCTTAAAGACGATGATCCTCTGCTTCAAATCCCGATGGAAACGTTGGACCTTGACATCTGGAACATTCTGGAGAGTCCAGAATCCTTCCAATCAAGTGATTTCCAGGTCCCTAGTTCTTCTGAAGATGCAGACAACAACAAATGGTTTCGTGATTTAGAGAATGAACTTGGACTCGGAACGACAGCAGAGGGATTCAACCTAGCAAGGAATAATGTTGATGATGTAGACATGGCTTTTCTGGAATCACCATGGTCCTCTTGGCAAGAAATTTACAATCTTTAACTGATCAAAAGTAAATTAATACAAAGTCCTGAGTAGTTTTTATTTTTTAGTGTCAAAAGTCCAAGTGATTACAAGTCCAAACAATCACTTCGTGATTTTTACTAGGCAGGAACAGGAACAGGAGGATTCACTGAAATATTGATGTGAAATTAAGAAAAGATACAGAGAGAAAAGCAAGTCTTGCTTCTGTGAAACCCAAAACATGTACAGAGGTGAGACTGATCATCTCTTGATTTTTTTTTTCTTTGAAAAGTATTTTAGAAAATCCGAGTGGATTATATTAGTTGGTATTTTCTCATTCCTCAGAGAGTCATACAAAAAGAAAGCAAGGTGATTAGATGTATTATTGTTAGAACATTGAAGTATACATAGATGATGATACAGGTTTATTTGAAGCTGTATGACTGAGTTGTATTGAATATTTTGTTGGTAAACAAGAACTATCTAACACTTTGCAAGTGGCTGGTTAAGTGAGTAAGTAGGTGATGAATTCTTCACTTAATTACGAACATGACTGTGACATTTTCTCTGCCAAAATTTCCATCAGATTTGAATAATGAAAACAACCGTGATTAGGTAGCACTACCGCTTTAGTCTGGCTTGTTTGGAACGGGCCAAATTGGTAATGATTTCTGATTTGTTGACCCTTTTTATGAAATAATTAATATAATCCAGTCAATAAGAAGAAAAAGTGTATTCAAATAAAAAAATAAGGGGCAAAGCTACTTGGCGACAACTTTGGAGGGCGGGGGGCTTGGAAGAATATAGGGATACAAGCAAGTATTTTTTTTAATTTTAAAATTATATTTATAAATTATTTTTAACATATTTTATCAACATTAAAAAAATATTAAAATTAATTAAGTTCATTTAAAAAATTAAAAAAATTTTTTAACTTCACCCTTATTAGCTATTCTCTTCATTAAAAAAATATAATGTATTTTTAATTTAATCACTTCCTTTAATAAAAATATTATTTTTTTATATTTATCTTTATATAACAGAGTATTTTAATCTAAAATAAATATAAAGTGATTATTTAAAAGGGGCAGTTTTGAAAAAAAAATACAATGATTACACTCTAAAAAACTAAAAATGCCTTATATTTTTCAATATCAAACCTCTCCAAATTTAGAAACTCATGATAAAATTTAATAACATGACTTTTAAATATAACAAAAAAATTATTTTCTCTCTATTTTATAAATAGAACCAAATGAATTATCAAAGGTTGATTTAATTAATAAAGATTTGGACTGTAATTCACAAAGTTATGAGATTAAATTCCACTATCGATATTAGAATTTTGTTAATAGATAATCTAAAAGTATCCCTATAAATACTTTTTAAATTTAAAGATATATTCTAACCTTAATAAGTCTTGTTCATGACAATCTCTAATCATGCCCGAAAACTTTTGTAATAGAAAAGGCGCCATGGGAAGTGTAAACTTCAACTTTCAATCACCTGTAATTGGTTGAAAATTTGAACATTATGAATCCAAATGTAGCCCATGGTAGCAAATAATTGCATCAAAGAAAGGTTGAACCTTCAACGTTATAAAATATGGCTTTAGGGATCCTAGTACATCACCAAACCTTTTGAAATTCTTGGTACTATTTTGAATTTACTATTCTGGTCCCCATGATGGGATTTCACCGTTTGTTGTGAGTCTTGGCATCTTACCAAAACTAGAACTATTTGTTGTGCAGGGCAGTCACTAATCAAAGGGTGAACAGTAAACTTTGCCATTTTGATCTTGGAAAAAATATGTGTAACCAATTATATTTACATATTTTTGGATTTATTTAAAGAACAATAATTATTCTACCCCGTGATGTATCTGTTAGTTTATAAATTGTTTTATCATAGAAAATATAAATTTTGATCATCACCGATGCTTCTAGAAAATAAAGTCATAATTTTTTATAATTTTAAGAAACACCAAAAATTAACTTATTTTTTAAATGAAAAATTAAATTTTCAAGTCCTTCAACTGTTATTGTTAATAATATAAATGATAACTCTTTAACTGTTACTTTTTATTTTTGCATTGATGTTCATAAAATTTAATTAAGAAGCTACGATGCCTAGTATAAAAGAAATTGAATTTGGACCTAAATTTAAATTTGTTACAATATATAATATGATAATATATTTTCAGGATCAATCAATCGATAAATTATAACATACATGATTAGGCTAGATTGTGTAGTTTGACACGCAAATAATTTGTATAACCATACATTCTAACTTAAAATATGTGGAACTGATAAATAAATAAATAAATAGATGATGACTACTAACAATAATAAGAAGGCTGCGATCCCTATATAATAATACCTTAGCCACTTAATTATTGACCCAAAGTCTCCTCACAAGTCAGGATTTATTTATATATCATTATTTTGTTTTAATATTTATTATATGATTTTTCTGCCAACTATCATTGGTTTGAATGTAATTTATCAAATACGAATTTAGTCCATCTTTATTATTAAGTCTAGATCAAGTTCCCTACTACTGAACGTACCATTTTGTTTGTGGTATCATATATATAATTCGCAACTCAGAAGTCAATATTCATAATTAATCAAATTTTTCGATTAATGAGGAATATATGTTAAAATAAGATCAATTTGGTCCTTTTCTATTATTCGATTGCCATCGGCTTATCCTCCTAAATAAAAAGTATATATAAAGAGTTTCTCTATAAAAATAATGGGCCATTGATGTAACTTAATTAGCCAGTCTATATATGAATATCTTCTATGTATCTTATACTATACAACATTCTTTCTCCAAAGCTAAAGACGTTCAAGAGCTTTTTACTCTAACCATTCTTTATTTTATAAGATATATATGCCATCAATTATGATTCGAACCCTACCAAATCACAAAAATTAATTAGGGACACTTTAGTAAACTTAGAAGTAAATAAAAAAGGGAAAATGACAAAAATACCCTAAATCATGCAAATGACAATGAGGTCCTATGAAATATGATAATTCTTTCTCAAGTTCTTTGTAACTTTTTTGACATTAATGTCATTTGTGATATGACTATAATGCCATTAATTGAAAATTAAAAAAAATAGAATCATTCAGTAATTATTTTGGTTTAAGTAATGATTATTTTTATTCCAACAATGATTAAAACAGGATAACAAATGACAAATTTTACTTTGCAAATTTTTTAATCATGAAGTTCAACTGTTGTGAATATCAATGATTATTTTGGTATAAGTAATGATTACTTTTTTCTGGTAATAATTAAAACGGGATAAATAATTACAGTTTTCCCTTTGCAAGATTTTTAATCACTGAAATTCAAATGTTGTCAATATCAATGACTATTTTAATTTGAATAATGACTATTTTTTCTCTGATAATGACTAACACATGATAATAGATAACAAGTTTTAATACACTCTCTTTTCGTTTTATTTTAAATTAAAAACATTATAGTCACTTCACAAAAGAAATTAATATCAGAAAACTCTCAAAAACTTAAGTGAAATTATTAAATTTTGTGAAATTCATTGTCATTTGTATATTTTAAGTTTTCTTGCCATTTTCCAAATAAAAAAAATAGGTTGACACATTAATTATTTGTTCCACATGTGCGTATGTATGTGTAAATATGTACATGAAAGTATGAATACATACATGCGTTATGTGTTTGTGTATGCAAATACGCATATGCATGTGTTTAGGGTTAGTTCTTTAGGTCCAAATAGATTCAATTCGAACAGGCCCAAACTTTTTGCATAGCTTGAATTGCTAAACTTGACCCAAAGTATTTTGGATTTTGAGCTGGGCTGAACATTTGAATTATTAATTTTTTATTTTAAAATTAATTTTAATTTGATTTTTTACAAAAAAATTATTTTTATTTAATATATTTGTTGGAATACTTAAACTATGTAGAACACTCAAACTTTTTTAAAAAAAAATATGTAAGTCTTAAAATTTAAAAATCCATGCCAAGATACAAACTAAATATTATTTTGAAATATTTTATAAATTAAAAATAATAAAAATTTGATAATATAAATATTTTTAATTTTTTTATAAAAGTATCTATAACAATGTACTTAAATATATGGTATCTTAATATAAAATAACCTAAAACTTCAAAAACTCATTAATGTCTAGTATATTTTTTAAAATGTTCTTTTTTTCTGTATTCATGAATTCAAACCAAGGCCCAGCTCAACCTGAATTTTTAACTTTCCTTTTTAATAAGTAACTAGTTTGAGTTTCATAAAGAATACGTTTGTTTCAACTTCCAATTAGGAAAAACAATAAAAACAAATGCCTGGAAGTTTTACTCGGATGAATCAAACAAAACGTGATTTGAAAGATGTATAATTTTTAGAATTTGAAATTAGACATAAAATACAAAATAAGCAATGATGATATCAAATAAGATGAAAAAAGTTACAAATTTTTTTATGACATTATAGTTTTAAACAAGCCATATTTGCATGATCATTGCAAGTACGCTGTGAAAGGCGAACTGGTTAACTACAGTCAACTGTGAAACAAACATGATGTTGGTGAGTAACAAAGCTTCCTTCCTCCATTAATTGTACATTACTCAACCTCACCCAAATAATCATCAATTTCAGCAGGTGTCAATACCCTGAAACATTATTACCATTTGCTTGTTAGCCTCAACATTTAAAGCCCAAATTAAATCCTCTTTTGAGACCATTTTAAGGCCACATTCTCACGTATCACCTTGATGCTTTTAAAATTTACTTTGGTAAAATTCTTAAAACTGGATGATATTATGAAAGCACAGACACTTATTATATCTTGTCTTTTGGATGGAGAGCAGAAGCACCTGAATTTTTTGTCTGCGCCAATTATGCCAATTTCAATGTTTTTGCCTGAGATTTGTCCTTCGAACCTGCATGGCACAAGCAATAAAATAAATAAATTGTGTGGTACCACAAGTTACAGGTTTTCTACAATGACAGAAGAAAATTTATATGATACCTTCTGGAAGAGATTAAGAAATAGTGTAAAACAACCATAGCCAGTTCAGCATGCTCGTCTATGTCACTCTCTCCCAATACAAAGGCTAACCGAACACACAGAGCCCCCACCCAAAAAAAAAAAAAAAAAAACAAAGCAAAACAAAACAAAACAAAACAAAAAAGAAAAAGAAACCTATACTTGCTACATAACTATAGAGGATTTAATTCTGTTGAGATCCAGCATAACTGACAACAAATTTAAAAACAGAATAAGGAGGAATGTCAACAAGGAACATTTAACAGTCAAAACTCCCCTGAAAAGGAAACTAATAACTGTTTTTGAAAAATTTTAATGGGCTTTGGACTTATCTAAGGACAGCAGTAATAGGAGATTATTTTTCATAGGGGTTTTTGCTTGATACGTTCTCTTATAATTGCATAATCCTACCCTTCCTTCAGTGTTAATATTGCTGTGTGAACTGCATCATCAAGCTCCATATCGTCAGTGTACCTGTAGAATAAGAAACAATCAACTCTTGCAATTTCAACAAAGCAAAAAACGTATAAAATGATATGTTTTACAATTGCCACTCATTATTGTGTTCCTTTTATTTGGTCAAGAATAAACCTGAAATTTTATAACAATACATTGATTCACTTGTGAGAAAGCATAGTGGCACCTGATACCCTAAGAAGCACCGCTAGATATATGATTGTACGGGGCAAAAAAATGGTCAGTGATATAGATGGCACTAGGGCAGAGTATGATACATGTAAACATATAGGGTATGTCTCCTTTAGAATTGGTGCTTCATAGCTAATACGGGCTGGAGAAAGACTTCCAACAAAATGTGCGGAAGTGGTGCTTCATAGCTAACACTGGCTGGAGCAAGACTTTCAACAAAACGTGCAACAACAACAATAAGAAAAAGCAGCTATATCTCACTAAGTGGAGTCAGCTACATGAATTACATAACATCATTGTGTTTTATCATCAACCAAGCATTTAAGAATATTGTTAATTAAGAGGTATTATTCAACAACTTTCATAAATGTTCTATTTCATCTTTTAACAAAATGTGCAATTCACAATTTTCCTACAGCATTGATATCAATGATCAGAGCAGCATACCTCTTCTCAAGAAACGTCTTAGCATTAGAAACGTTTTTCCCCATAGCTGAAGCTTTCCAAGAAAAGTATGAACCTGACGGATCCACCTGCAGCAAAAACATTTACACCAAACAACAACCTTCATTCCTCTTTATCTCGTGTTTCTTTTCTTTTGGTAAATACAAACCAGTTATTTCAAACAATTCCGAGTGCACGATGAAAGATCTCAGCCCAGCTCATCAAACATATAAACGTGCACATGCCAAAGAAAAAGAGAACATTTCTCAACCAAATCCCCAGAAAAATTAACATCTCTAACATAATATAAAATCTATGAAAAGCTACACTATTAACAATTCATGAATAGCAAAATTCACCATAAACTCTACTCAAGCATAGGCCCCACAGTCTAATTATGTTTAAAATGCACAAATAATTGTAGAATTAACTTCATTCTGAACCAGAAATATAATATGCATAAGAAACTAATGCAGTGTACAATGAAATTATCAGTTACATATTGGCCACTTGTATATAAATATATAATTTATAAAAAGCTGACTATTCATAAGCCATAAATCCTCAAACTCTGAGCAATGAATATGACCCACATCTAGTTATCTTCCTAAAGCTTAAGGAGCATCATTCTAGAGTCTTCATGAGAACGGCCCAGATGTGTTGAAAATGCTTTCTGCTTTTAATTTACCAGTCAGGAGCGAGAACATGCATTAAAATCAAGATGGCCACAATAGAAATAAAGTTACGTGACCATATAGGATAATACATATTGACATACCTGAAATAATTGCGGTCCTTTGTCATCAAACCCAGCTACCAGCAGGGATACTCCAAAAGGCCTAACACCACTATCAAGACAAAACATGCAAATTACAATTTAAATTATAACACTAGCAGCGGGGAAATCATGAAAAAATGGAGTAATTCTTCATGCACAAAAATTAGAAGGGAGAATGACAATTAAGGACCTTTTAAGAACATTAATCCCAATTACGGACCATGAAATTTTGAAATCCCAGTTAAGGACCATGGTCCTTAATTGTGACAAAAAAATGTAATTTGTGAAGTGGGATTCACTAACGTGACTTAGGGATTCACTAACCCAACTTGAAATACTAACATATATTGTGAAAACATGAAACCCCACTTGGAAATGAATTATTTAACAAAAAGCTCCACTTGGAGATTCACTAACCTGACTTGAAAAAATGTTTAACGTATATTGTGAAAATATGAAACTCCACTTGAGAATCGAATGTTTAACAAAAGCACCACTTGAGAATTCACTAGTTAGACTTGAAAAAATTTCTAACGTATATTGTGAAAAAATGAAACCCTACTTAAGAATTAATTGTTTAATAAAAAGTGACTTGTCCAAATTGGTGTTTTTTATTAAACAATTGATTCCCAAGTGAAGTTTCATATTTTCACAATATACGTTAGAAATTTTTTCAAGTCGAATTAATGAATTCTCAAGTGGTGCTTTTTGTTAAACAATTGATTTCCAAGTGGGGTTTCATGTTTTCATAATATACGTTACAAATTTTTTCAAGTTGGGTTAGTAAACTCTCAAGTGGTAATAGTAAATTCCATCTCACAAACTACATTTTTTTTATCACAATTATGGTCCTTAATTGGGATTTCAAAATTTCATGATACGTAATTGAGATTAATGTTCTTAGAAGGTCCTTAATTGTCAATCTCCCAAATTAGAAACATGATTTGTCTTAATTCTACACTTTAAGGGGTTAAGGATTACATTTGCCCTCAAACTTTTTCCTCAAAGTTTGTGGGTACCCTAAAATTAACTTGGAATCATTTCTATTCCTGACGTTCAAAATTTGAAGGGATCATTTCTATCCCTAATGTTCAAAATTTGAAGCCTTGTTATCCTGACATTAACGCAGCATCCATCACCATTAATGGTCCCACATTTTGCTAAAAGGTGGCATGACTCTCTCTCACACACATACACTTCAGAGGCTTCATACGTCAAACTCCATGTGGCTTGACTCGCTTTCACTCTTCCTCTTTCCTATAACATCCCCAAAATTTAATTCAAGGTTAAATTAATTAATTGAGAATTTTAATGAATTAAATTAAGATACTTAGAAGTTAATTATAGAGTTTGGATAGCCATTTCTTATTGGAACTTATAGGAGGCTTAGAGGGCTATTGGACCATTTTAGGCTCAAATTCACTTAAGCCTATTTTGGGCCATGTGCTGTGGCAGATGGTTCAATGTGCCATGGCAGACACGATAATATTTTAAATCCCGATTCTGCAGTTCGAATAAGCAAAAAAGAGTAAGATTTGAGAAAGGAAATGCAAAAAGAAGATAGCGCTCTACTAGGATTTCATTGTGAGGGTTTTGGAGCCTTTAAATCATTGGATAAGTCCTATCTACTCTCCTCCGTTTACGTGTTTTTTGCACTTTTGTAGCTAGTAAGGGCTATGTCCAAATTTATGGCTCTAATGACTCTACTAAAGTCTAATGAGGACCTTCTACATTTCTAACCTTGAGTTTACATTAATATTAGTAGTTTGGAGCTTTAATAAGGGGCTTAGAATTAACCCTAATGTTAAATAATCAAGTTTAAGTTAATAGGACTAACTACCAATGTTTATTAGCCTTAATGTTAAATAAACTAATGGAAGTGAATTTCAAGGCTAGTTATGCTTAATCATGCTTTATTAAGGGATTAAGCCTTAATCATGATTAAGGATTAATTAATGACAGTTACTCATTAATGATGTTTTTGGATTATTGTTGTAGATTGATTGTACTCGAAGCTTATGTTTGAGAAAGCTCCCTCAGGAAATCCAAATTTGACTCTTGGGGTAGTAGTCCAAGATCAGAGGTAACTAGGGATTTAATTTTAATATATCATTGTGTTTGCAAAATTGTGATAATGATATCATTATTGATGGCTTGGAATGACTAATGAGAGCATACTAATGAAAATGTTGCTTTTAAGTTGACAATAGTATTGTGAAGCATGTCTTAATGTGATAAGTTTTGCTCAATGATTAGATATGCATAATTATCGCATGATGTGAATTGTGAATTGTTAAGCCTAGATTGACGGCGTCACACTTTCATGATTATGAAATTGTGAGATAACTCAGATGGATTGTGACAAGCATACAAGTTCTTGAAGTTATGAAAATGTTAAATCACTAAGATATGCATATGTGAATTGTTTTACATTTATTCAATAAACTTGCATAATCGTGATAGGTGGGTGTTCTCCCTGATTTAGTAGAAGCCTATATTGGTAAAAAGCCACATAATGTGGCTTTCACTGAGTTTGCGCACAATGGTTGGCAAATTATATTACATAAGTGCTTAATATTGCCAGTAGTTCTTTAGGTATGGCACGGGTCTGACACAATGCTCAATATCACCGCTTTCTAGAGGGAACATTAGTGAGTCAAGCATTTATAACACCTCAAAATTCAAATAGGGGGAATTTATGGTCTGAGAGTGAGTGTGGGAACCTTTGGCCGAGTAACCTCTCACAATTGGAGAGCAGAGCTAGTCCAACCTTATGGGCTAGACCTATGAGATAATAGTCCACACATTCGGCTATATGATATAAGGAGTAATATAAGACAATTGCATTAGATCATGCAAATAATAATTTGACAATGCATTGTGATCAATGTTTGTCTTGCCTTATGTGATATTAATTGCTTACTGTTGTGAATGCCACACTATAATATATTTTAATTAAATTACTTGATTACTAAAATTGTTTAATCTCACCCCGTTACTTATATTTTTTCCAAGAAACAATAAGGAAAACAAAAAAGGGAGAGCCTGCAAGGCCAAGCAAAGTTGTAAAGTCTCTAATACCTTGATGTGTAATTGGACTTATGTTTGCCAACATAGGATGATTGTGTATGTTCGGATTACTGTCATTTGCATGTGAGCCCTTATTGTTGATTACAGCATTTTTGTAGAGAAGGCCAACCATGTAAATGTGTACATGTTAAGGAGCGATGTTTAAATCTAAAATAGTTTGAAGTATGCATTATTATATATGATTGGAACATATTTGAGTTTTATGTGATTTGCGAATGGCTTGTAAAGGGGAGACACTTAATGGGGTGCCTTTGGAACAAAGGCTTGTGTGGCACTAAGTGTCCCAGGATCCTTCTTTATTACTGGTTTGAGGTGTGACTGAAGCCATTAGATAATTTGGTAAATTAGTTGTATATGGGTGCTTGGATTACCTTAATAGGAGGTCTAAGCAGCTAATTAGGTGCACTAAAAGTTAGGAAAATTAATACCGCATAAATCATTTCTAATACGAGGCTTCCACTATGGCAAAAGTATGTTTAGCTGCGGTAGAAGAAGTGTTTTTGGGTTAGCCATGGTGGAAAGTGTTGTTGGCCATGACAAAGTGGTCTCTGTACCATGTGTCGCAGCAAACATATACGGAGCTATGGCAAATGAAAAGTTGGCTGTAGCAAACATGCTATGCAAGGCTAGCTGCAGTGAATGGCTCCTTAGCCATGACGAATGAGCACAGTTTCACATTAATGTCTGTTTTGACCTTGTTTGAGCAATTCTAAATGCTAAATGTATTTTACATGTTTCTGCAAACTCTTTTACTATAATTTTTAATGTCTCCATTGCCATCATCTTTGATTTGATTTCCTCTAGTGATGGCAATGAAAACCTCATCCAGTGACGTTGATCTCAACTAGCAATCGTGACAATGGCTTCCTCTTGTGATGGTGACAATATCCCTTCATCACTGATGACTTTCCGAAGTGATGATTTCCCTCACAATTTCCCTCAAATGATGGTGACAACTTCCCTTCATCAACTTCCTCTAAGTGAATCTCTATGTTCAATTTTTGGTTTTCTAATCTAGATTCAAGCAAAGCAAAGAGATTTCATCTTATCCTTTTCTAATTAGATGACTTTCCAGACATGTTTTCCGATTTCATCTTCAAGTTCAATATTATCTGGTTATGCAGCTTTGTTCCACGATTTTATTTTCCGGCAATGTCTAGTTTGATTTTTTGATTCCCAAATTCGTCCCTTTGGCAATGTCTAGTTTGAATTCTTTTGGCAATGTGCAAGGACTGGTATTAATAAATTTCATTGCTCTAGTCTATATTCCACTCATGCAAATTAATGAATCTGATCTTAGAATTTGTGCACGCCTAATTGACGCTCATACTTGCCTATAGAAGTGTTTGGTTCAATTTTTTTTCTAGCAACATGATAGAGACTTGGTAGCATGGGATACTAAGTCCCACATTGAGTAGTATAAGATGCTCAATAGGGTATATAGGTGGGTTGGTTCTCCCACTTTAACAGCTAGCTTTTGGGGTAAAGTTCTCTATCCTATTTAGGTACCCATCAATTGATATCAGAGCCTCGTTATCGACAGTTCCGGAAAGGGCTACCCACAGAGGGTTCTAACCTGAAGGAGACAAAGTTAAGTGCTGTGGAGTGCAGCCATCAGGATGTCGGCTTTCCATGAGGGGCCAATTGATAGAGACTTGATAGTATGGGATATCAAATCCCATATTGAATGGTATGAGATGCACAATGGGGTATATAAGTGGGTTGGTTCTCCCACTTCAACAGCTAACTTTTGAGATAGGGTTCTCCATCTTATTTAGATACCCATCACAACGTTTGGACTTTGAGGGAACCATAGTATAGTTATAAGTAGATACAAGTTCATCTATGTATTTTTAAATAAATGGATTTGAGGGATCTAAGGGAGGATGTGAGTAGAGAGTGGAGAAAAGAAATGAGTCCTACACAACTATAGACAAGGTCTCATAGCTGACCCTCGGCTTCCTAAGCTAAGGACCTGACGGTTTCTTTGGGATTAGCCACATTGAGCTCAATGAGAAGCTTAGAAACATTGCCGGTGCCGAACACCTAGTGGACGTTAGAGAACTTGCAAGGGTTGTCCAGCAAGAAGTTAGTTACGAAGATGCATTCTTAAGTGCATTTTCACCTCTAAAGCTCATCGATAAAGGAGCATAATGTTGGTGGAGGAGAGAGAGGGAATAGGGGATGTGGGGGAGGAAAGAGAGGATGGAGAAGCAAGACCCACTAAGTAAGATTTTATAACAAAAAAATATTAAAAAATACAAATAGTAGACCCACATAATGAACCGTTAAGCACATTAATAGTAGGGTGACGATGCATCAGATTTTGAACGTTCAGGTACAAAAATAACCCCAAGTTAAGTTTAGAGTACCCACAAACTCTAAGGGAAAAGTTCAAGTACAAAAGTGACCATAAATCTTATATTAAATAGGTCAAAAGCTTATATAGTGTCCATCTTTTTCCCTCTCTCTAATGGAGGAATATAGAGTTTATCTGCTCTATAGATCAACCAAGTTGGAGCCAAATCATAGTTAATGTTTCAAACTTAAAGTGAATAAAGTCAACCCATCCACATGGCCAGAATGCAAATTGAAATATAGTTTACAAAAAATGAAAAGAAAAAAATCAGTTACCCAGACTGAGTAAATTCCTGCATAACAGCAGCAATTTCCCTCACAAGCTGAGTTACAGGGATTGGTTCCTGCAAATTCCATCAATATATCAGGTATAAAACTACATTTTAGAAGAGCACCATTGGAGAATACACTAAGGTAGTGTTTGGATTGGTGGATTTGGATTTAAATTTAAAATTTAAAATCTTGCATTTCAAATCTCATATTTAAAATTCATACATTCAAAATCCTTTATTTGGTTAATTTAAAAAATTTCAAATGATGAAGAAAAAGGAGTTGAGATTTGAAACAAAAAAAAAAATTGGAAGTGATGAATTTCTCCATATTTTTTAATCAATGAGAGACAAAAACCAAAGATAAGAAAAGATATGAGAGAGGCATTAATAGTGAAAGCACAACAAATAAAATGTTTGAAATGACCGAAATTTTAAATGATTAAAGCGTAAAGAAGATTTGAAATTACAAAAAAAAATAAATAAATAAATATATATATATATATATATAGAAGAAAAGGGATCAAATCCAAATCTATAAATTTTTTGTACCCAAATGAGAGATTTGATCTAAATCCAAATCCTCATTAATCCAAACACACCATAAAAGCAAACAGAAGATACACAAACAAGGAAATACACAAATGGTACAGAAGATCATAAATACTTAATTATAATTTTTTCCCATTATATATAAAACTATAAAACAGAGTGATTGCACTTTCAAGAGAACTTTTTCCTTACACATGTTATAGGATAGTGTTTTGGGTTTTACTTCCTGTTACATACATAAACAAATATTTGCTTCATGGAGTCTCACTGTCTGATAGTACAGATATTGAACACAGCTTTGATGCATGTTTTAGCCTTCTAGGCTCTTTTTTTTAATCATCATACTTTAGATCTCTTTTTTTAAAAAAAAAAAAAAAAGAGTCCTGCAGGATAAATTATGCTTCTTGCTCAATCCACATTGTACTTTTCCTGTTCTTACAGAAACAATTTCTTCTTTTGTTTCACCACAGTTGAAAAACATTATAAAAACAAAATTCTGCAGAATCAATTATTCTAGATGAAAAAAGATGAAGAAATGACAGAATCTAACTGACCAAGTCATGTACGTGCAGGCAAGAGAAGAAAATGAAATTTTACACTAGAAAATGATTATTCAAAGTACTTTATATAACCGATGATACTGCTCTGCTTGCTTCCTACTTTTTCGAACTAGTATTCGAAAATCAGGACCCATGCCACTAGACAACAAAGTGAAAATTTATGTCAAGGACACAAAATAATCAAAATAACAACTCATTTCAGGAGAACTAACCAACTTAATTTCCAACAAGCTCAAATGCAATGAAAATTAATGAATAGCTTAGGGCTTGCCCATGGAGTAACACAAAAGGAAAACCTCAATGACATGAATTATTATTTTTGAGTTTATCTCATGAATTAGTTTTAGCTTTTATCCCTTAAAGATGACAACTGGTAATAGAAAGAAAGCAACATGGTGCAATAAATGATACTGATCTCGTTTTCAATTCACAACAAAACTGTTGTCTTTTTTAATTCACCGTTTAATTTTTCAACATACAACCTAAAAGTGCAAATACTGTCGAATAGAACATGTATTTTCTACCATAAAAATGTCTTCCATGCAGTAAGGACAAGCAAACCCTCTTCCCACCACTTTATGACTTGGATAGGACAGTCCTTAACCTTACATGCTGGTCATCCATCTAATCTTCAAAAAAATTTTAACTCCTATTCTCCTATATATGTTTGACGTTTCTTAATTTTCTAGCATGGATGCCTCACTTCACTTCAGCGGCAACCTTGGCTCCAACCTCACCTTCTCAATTGCACACGGGTTGATCAACCCTTGTTACGTTTAACTTTTACTCATACTTATTCTTGTTACAATCAAATGCCATGCTATAAAATGTAAGGCCATTGTTGAGGTTTCCAAAATCAATTATATCTAATGAATAAATAAATAAAACTGATAGAAAAATGTAATGTTAAATACACCTGTAAACAACGCCAATATTAGGTGTTAATAGCTGAATTTTCTGGACCTACACCCAAATACAACAAAGGCTGAGAATGCGTCAAATTTCCTATAGATGATGAGACAGGAATCAAATAACTACAACACCTTTAGGCAGGAAAATTACAGAACATGAACAAAAGAAGCTGACAAACACCGCACAAAATTTAGATTTTCTCATAGGCCATAATTCCACATGTCCTTAAACCATCAAAAAAGTAGTATTAATGTCATTCCACTATGCATAAACTTAGGGAGAGAAAAAAATAAAACAACATAGATAACAGATCATACTATCAAACACTTGGTGGTTGTGTAACAATCCCAGAGAATAGGTTCAGTTCAGTCCAAAAGCATTACATCCTTCACCATAGAAAATGGTGATTGCTTTTGGGTCACTGACCCTGTGTATCACAAAAACAAAAAATGGTGATTGCCCAATCTCTAAGCAATTGACAAATTACAGGCAAGGCTTATAATATAGGGCAACACAATACTGTTTGTTCACAGATATGATGGAGAATTTCTCACTTATGAAGCCCTGAACAACTCTATTTTATAGCTAGGTCAACATTGGACAATGCTGAATCATTCAAGGAAGTTGAGCCATAACAAAAATGGAGAAAAAATAGCAGATCCATAGGGCATACAACCTTGGGATCGAAGAGATAATAAATTTATGAAATTTTCACACACAAAGAAAGATCCAACCATATGAAAACTCACTGATGTTTCATCAACTAATATAGAAGGTAGTTTTTTCTCTGTTGCAATGACAACTCCATTAGCAGCTGCAAGAATCAAAAGAGACTTGTAAATAGAAAAGCTTTAAGAGACATTATCCAAATTATTTACAAGATAATAGAATCTATAAGGAGAAAAAATAAGGAACAGAATTAAATACAGAAGCAGATGATGTTTGCGAACAACATACTTTTATCTAGTAATAACAAAACCTTACCTATGAAAATGATACCAAAATATATGGCCCTTTTAGACCAATTCTTAATGTTTTGATGAATGAGAAAAAATATAATTGCTTTTCAATGGCAACATATAAGTTTCTTTTCTTCTCTGATGGCTATTTGATATAAAAAACTTTGCAGTGCTAGAGGAAGAGTAAAATAATATAATATAAGACATTCAGAAAGCTCATCAAACTATTTGATTGAACAAAGAAATGCTATTATTTATCATGCTTTTCCACAAACCAAGACATATCTAACTCTATCCTCATTGACACACTCCTCCCAGTCTACATAGCCGACATGCGACCTATTTCAGTGTTTATCCCTACTATCCATATCACAAACCTTCGGCTAAACAAAAGGTTTTAAGTTAAAGAGTAACAATATCCTGAAATCACACAGCTATTTAACTTTCTTTGCTCCAATAATCAGCAATAGTTTTAGCTGCTACTTAAAAGAATACTTTTTCAAGATAAAAAGAAGCAGTGATGTGCAACCTAAAGACTTGAGACAGCAGTACTATGGAACGTTAAAGACAGTGTCACCTTTAATCCCAAGAGAGGTTTGTCCAGACCCAACAGCGGTAAGAGCGTGCTCAATCTGAACAAGTTTTCCAGAAGGACTGTTGAACGGGTAGCACAAATTAGTTGATATGATAGAAACACATTAGCAACATTGGCTCTTATGCAAAAGTCTACCGGTAGCCATACCTAAAAGTGGTAAGTGAGAACGAGTATTGACTATCCCCCATGATATTGTAGAGGAATCTGCTACAAAAAAAAATACTATAACATTCGTCAAATGCGTAAAACAAGTACCAAATTTACTATCTTGAGAATTGAACTTGGATTGTCAAGAATTACTCGAAGCTACAAAAAAATCGATTGTTTTTTTACTTAAAAAAAGTACGACTTCAACTCAGAACGATGACGACTTAACACATGGTACTTGGATCAATGGACGATTCTCCTAATGCCCATAGACATCTAAGTCTAACATCGGAACATGCGCCAATGAATCGAAGCTGAAGAAAAAGAAGGAAGTCCTTGTCAGCTTAGCCCTTAGTGACTGCTTCTATAGCAGTATATTGCCTCGAAAAAGAAAAAGCTTTCCATTAGCGCAAAGAACCCGTTATTGAGATTCAGCCATTACCTTATTGAAAATAAGAGCAAACTTAAAACTTCAACTTCAACGGCTCCTGCAACTCTTGTTTTAGCTTGGGAAGCATTCGTCGGGTGCAAGAAATCCAGAAATGGGCCGTGGGCCTTTTACTCGTTCAGTGCTAATCACGTAAGGCCCTTAAGACTGGGCTCTTCCATTCTTGAGCATTGTCCAAATTACAACACACTTGTAATATTTGTAAACCCATTCTCCCAAAGACTTAATGTAAGTTCCAACACTCTCATGATACATTACCATCTTCTAGTTTTTTTTCAAAAGAGGAAAAGGAAATATAAAAGCAAGAAACTAAGGTCATGTTTGGTATAATGGAAGAGATTTTGATGGAAGAGAAATTAGAATTGAAATTGAAATCGAAATCGAAATTAAAATAGAATTGATTTACATAAGCGTGTTTGGTAAGTGCATGAAATCCTTATATTATTTATTATTTAATATACATATTCATATGTTAAAAGACTAAAATGTCCCTAACTAAAAAATTCTCCCTTTATACTGTTCAAACCCATGACCGAGCATTACCATTCACCCTCCCCTAAGGCCTACCCACTTCATCTTCCTCATCTATGTCATACACCACTAGATCACACCCAAACCAAGAAGCAAGCTCTTAACAATAGTTGGAGGAGTCGAAGCACTGTACCGAAACCTAAAATCATCTTCTTCTTCGTCATTGACCGCTTGACACACCATGACTTGAGCCAAATGTTATGCAACTGCTTTCATGGCTATGTTCTGCGTTTTCCTGACAATAGAGAGGTCGAACAACAGCAACATCAGATCGCCCGAGTTGAATCTTACTTCTAGCACTTCATGGCCGCTACTTTTCTACAAAAAAATTAGTGGTAGAGTATCTATCTTCCATTGATTCTTGCTTGACAAAGGTAGGGAAGCAAGAACCAAGAATAAAGATCAACAGTAATGCAAAAAAGTTGCAACAAATTGAACAAAAACTTGCTACAAAACAACACACCAAAACCACGCTCATATTACCGTCGGTTAACTATCATATAAGAGGAGCTGTCACTGGTTTAGGGAGAAGCCCTTACCATTGTGGTGAGGGATGAGAACAATGCATTGTGGTTGCTAGGCAAGGAAGAAGTCGTCTCTAAAGGGAGGAGTAGGTTAGAGGAAGATGGGGCATAATGGATACAAAGTTCAATTCTTGAGAAACCAATTTGATTCCATAGAATTTACTAAGGAATCCAATTCTGGCCATTTTGGCTGAATTGGATTCCATGGGAATCACAAATCTAACATACCAAACACACTGGTGTATGGATTCTAGATTCAATTCCATTTCCCATGCTCTAATTCTCTTATACCAAACATGGCCTAACTTGACACTTCTTCTAGCTTCTCACCAAGTTAATAGGAAAACTAACTTGAAAATGTGTGCTTTAGGAGCAAAAGGGAGATTCACTTGTAAGTGTCCAATAACTATTCTTCTTACCTAAAGATCTCACCAAATGCATAAATGAATATGTTGAAGGAAAATTTCATTAAACCAACCCGAACCAAACTTATTTAAAATCAACCCTAAAATTTTGAATTATTAATGTAGTCCCTATGGATTGTATTTGGCCAAGATTGAAACTAAGTTTTTTATGAAAATGACATAAAGAACCTCAATCTCCTACCTCAATTGTTTATTTTCTATATAGAACTTGTTCATTTTTCCTGCACGAGTTGTATATGCGTCTAATTTCACTCATTTATATTCATAGTAATGTTATGTTATTAATAAAAATTGTAAATTTTACCTATATTAGTTGTTCATTTTTTATGCATCAATTGTTCATTTTCCTTATGAGTTATTTATGTGTTTAACTTTACTTATTTATATTCATAGTAATGCTATGATGTTGGTGAGAGTTGCAAATTTCCTTTATATTAATTGTTCATTGTTTATCCATTAATTGTTTATTTTCTCTGCACCAATTTTTTTATTAAACTATGTTGGTTGTTTTTATTCTAGGGAATTGGATTATTTGTGTCGTTTCTTCAAAAACTTAATTTCAATTCACCCTAAGTGAGACTGCATGAATTAAACTAATGTTTCAAAATTTTGCAATTAAGCTTGGTGGGGAATTTAATGAAATTTTCCCATATGTAGTCCCTGGCTCCTTAATTGTAATTTAGGTATTCTTTTAATTGACTAAATGGCCTTCATTTAAAAACCAGAATCAAGACTCTATTGCCTCTGCCATCTAATCTTGCCTCTTTCACCTTTCCTTTTTTTATTATAAAGGAGATCAAGGGCTATAAAAGCTTATAAAAAAGAAACTCATGAAGGAACTTCCTTATCATCATCCACCAACTTCAAACAAAAAAGTGAGGGTTGATTAAAAAATTAAAATACACCTACTCTATCTGAAACAAATTTAGCCAACAAATGAATACAATAATTGACTTTCCTAAACATAAAGTTAACCAACATATTTTGGGTGTGTTTGGATTAAAAAATTTACAACTGAGGTTAAAAAAAAGTCAGTTAATGTAATGTAATTTATGTTTGGATATCTTTTTTTTTTAAAGTCAGTTAGATAAACTGAAATTCATTTGGATGGTTTGATTCAAAAGCCAGTTGACTAAATAAGGATGTTTATATTTTTTGAGGATGCCTCACAAATATCGGTATCTTTCTCATGGATATCTACATTTTCATCTTCAGCTTGTATGAACAGCTCATCAATAATTGAATTTCTTCTAATAAAGTTATGTATTGCCATTGTTGCACAAACAATTTGAACTTGTGTTTTATATTTAAATTTGGGCATGTTTTGTGTAATTACAAACCTATTCTTCCACACTCCAAAAGTTCTGTCTATAGTATATCTCAAACTTAAATAATAATAATTGAAGGCCTCATTATTATTTGTAAATCTTGCAACTCGCCTGAAGTCTAGAAGGTGATAATGCTCACAATGATATGGACCAAAATATCCATTTAGTGTTAGATAACTAGAATCAACTAAATAATATTTACCTGTTAAATAAAAAGAAGTGTTGTAAATCTTACCAACATTAAATCACTACAATAATAATTATAGTAACTTTAATAAAATATGCCTGGAGGTGAATACGAAAATGCATTGAAGGAGTTGATAGGGTATTATCAAATACTCGAGTATCATGAGCCATACCTTCCCATCTCGTAATGACAAAAGTAAAACACATGTCCCAATCACATACAACCATGACATTTTGTATTGCATATCCCTTTCTTCCAATAAATTTAATTTGATTAGTAGCACCAACCACACATGGCATATGAGTGCCATCAATTACTCCTATAGTATCCTTAAAGAAAAATACCGTGGATCATTTTGAATTTTCGAATGACATCGTTGAAACAAAGGATCAAGTGGCTTTATGTTTTTCTTGGAAAGGTTAAGGCAGACAGCTAATACTTTATGAAAATTTTTATGGACATTTTCCCCTAAATGTTGAAACCATTCTTGTATCATTCTATTACCAACTCTATGCCCAATTATATTTTAAAACATTCCAACCATTTTTTCAACTCTCATTTTTTTTTAGATTTCTTTAGATCAAGATCAACTACTATCATGCATAGTTACCTAAACAAATGTTTTTCCATTCGAAACATTTCATAACAACAATAAGGATGACCTTGCAAAATTTGACCCACATTTCTCCTGTTTGCCTGCTAGTTCTTCGTGGCTCTTTACACACATATGGCATCACATATTCACCAAGTAATTGACATATTTCTTCTTACTCAGTTATATCTTGTTGTAATAAGGGAAGTAGTTGATGAGCCACATCTACATCCCAACTTTCATTCCAACCTAACATATATTCATTGAAATCTTCCATGATTTTTCAAACTGAGGTAAAATAATATGTAAATATCATTTGTATATCATATAAAATATATAGTATATAAATATCATTCAACAACATAAAAAATAAAGCGTAAGATAAGCATTAGATGAGAGTTAAATATTCATTACGAACCAAATCATCATAAGCATAGCAAACTACAAGTCAAAATAAAGCAACTACTACAAGTCAAAAAGAAGTCAAGTCATCATAAGTCTATATAAAAATTCATCCAGATGTATTCTTGGAAATAAAATCTAGTAAATGGTAGACTTGGTGCTTCAACTAATTGACCAAGTGATTAGGATGATCTTTAAGTTGCCAATAAGCATCTCGCATAGGCTTGTACAGAACAAGATTGACACATCTCCAATGCAAATCTTTATCACCAAAAATGTCTGGAAGTCCATTTAGGTGAGCCATCACCTCATAAACTCCTATGTCATTTGCCAAAATTTTGTTCACTGTCTTTATTCTAGCTCTATTATCCTTTGCTATTTCACTCATCACATCTCTATTTTAATTGAGGCAGGGACTTTTTGCTTTTTCCTCCCGCCAACTCCCCCAACTCTCTTTCTCTTGCCTTGAGTTCCATCACCACTAGTTCCACCAATATTTGTGATAACATTCAGGCCCAACAACTCATCAGTGACCCCCACAGGTGCTATAGTGTCAAATAAATTTAGCTCCTCTTCACTATTATCAGATCCTTCTTGAAGGTCAATGGTGGGGCAGTACATATCCTCATCATCATCATCCTCCTCTATTTGGATTTGGGTAGTAGATGGTACAAATAGTGTCTCCCCAGTTGCCAAGACATTCCTGAATATTAAGGTTAATTCCCTTACAAACCTCAACCCTTTATGTATAAATTTTTTATAAAGGGAATTTTTCTGCAAGCATTCAAGTAACCAATAATTAAGATTTTCAAATTAAATTCTAATCTAAAAAATACTTATTATATCTATATCGAGATTTTTTGCTCCCACCACTCATCTGAAGCATCAACAGTATTCTTGACACTATCCCATCCTAAGCTAGTTTCACTAGAAAATAATTTATACCATATGTTCCATTCTTTCTTCATGTTGTCCAGTTTATTTTTCAGATGCTTTCCCTCATACCTTTTTCCTGTTTTTTCCTCAAACCCCTTAATTATTGCTTGTCACCCATTTTTGTTGAAAGCAGTTTCTTTCCTTTGTTTCCTATATACTTGCTCCAAGCATTCCTTAATGAAAATCTCTGTCAAGGTCGAATTCCACATGACTTTTCCTTTATCACTGTTCATTATTTTATAGACTAGCCGGCCATCACAAACATGCAAAATCAATAAATATCTCTACATATATGTATCAATTTCCAAAATGTGATATAACAATTATTATAACAAAAGCAGAGTTCGTACAAATGTAACATTCATATTGTTGGTGCAGTGAAAAAATGGAAGAAATTCAAAAGCAGTTGAAAAACATAATAGAGGAGGTAACATGCATGATATTGAATTTATTGGGTGTGTGTGATAAAGAGAAGAAATGGGTGAAGAGCGATAACCAAACGCTTCAAATGAACTCATATCCAAGTTGTCCAGACCCAGATCAAGCCATAGGTCTCGCGCAACACAAAGACACATCCATCATCACAATTCTCCACCAAACTTGAAGCCAAGTCCTGACCCAGGACCAAACGGGTGAGCTCCAGATCTTCAAAGAAGGAATCGGGTAGGTTCCGATGTGCCCAGATCTAGATGCGTTTGTGGTGTATGTCGGTGACATCCTTGGGACACTGTCCAATGGGAAGTTCACTTCGGTGCTACATATCATCATAGTGATCAAGAGTCCTCATCGATATTCCTTTGCATTTTTCCATAGGCCCTCAACTGAAACTCCTCTCTCTCCTTTTCACTCTCATCCTCGAGTACAAGATCTGACCTAACTTGTCTCTCATACAACCCATAAAAAAATTAACACAAATAAGAAGCAAAGTATGAGATGAAAAATGAAAGGTGATTGTAAAAAATGAAAGCAGAGCAGATAGTTCAAACTTTAGAATCCAAAGCAAAAAACGAAAGCTGCTCACAATTCATTAAAAAAGAAAAAGAAGCAGAGTGAGGATGGCAGAGCATAAGACGACATAGGCAAAGCAAAATCAAACGACGAAGAGGAAGAAAAAAAACTCAGCACAGCAGTAACAAAGGCAAGGAATGAGATGAAAGGAAGAACCTTACTTGGCAAGGACAGTCGATGGGGAGTAGATTCGGCAACGACAACCTCAGATATGGTGGAGATGGTAGAGATCGAGAGGCAATTGTAACATGGAGAAACCACTTCTGAGCAGGGAGAAACCATGACTGTAACCTCGGATCTTGGTGCTTCAACGTGGAGATCTTGGAGCTTCACCTAAGGTAGAGATCGATCAAGGTTAGGTGCCTAATGTGTAAAGCTTGAGAGGTGAAGCGAAGTAGATTTGTAGGTGCTGCTCAGGAGGTCATGGGAGGAAGAAAGCAAGATAAAAGAAAATAATCAGATAGCCTCGTGGCCTCGCGGGTTGATAGCTAAGAGGAGAGAGAAAGCATGCAAATTTTAAAACATCATTAATGATTTTAACAATTTACAACGTGAACGCTGATGCAAAAGCCAAGAGAGTGGGCTTCTAAAAAAACAGTTGTTTAATATGACTAACTGAGGTTGATATTTTTTCTTAATTCAAACAACACAAAATGAGTTTTTTTTTACTATCCCAACTTCAGTGGGACTGATTCTAACTAAGATTGGGGGTTAATTCAAACATGCACTTCATTCTCTTAAAAAAGGAATTGGGCCTAATATCCACAAACGGGGATAATCTCCCTCGCCTTTCCTTCGTATCCAATACCGACGCCTCATTTGAACCTCCCACTTTCTTCTGCTATCACATGCCCCTCCGCCACCGCTCCTCTGACGTCATTCACCTTGTTGAAAAGAAGACCCAATATCCCCCAAGCTCACGAAAAAACGCTTACCCGAGCGAAGTTCGAATCTGACAAGCAAGAACCACCGAACCCACCGTTAGGCCAGCACACAAGCAGGCGGCTCTCATCTTCTCCTTGGCAGATGGAGCTAGCTACGAATGATGAGAAAGTGCGGTACCTACTTTAATGGGAAATGCTGTAAGCTCCGGCTTTGCGATATGACTCACGTTGCAATGTTCTAAGATCATGCTTCTGGAAAGCGGAATTAACAGAATATGCTAAAGTTGCGGTTAGCCTTTCACCTCCCTTCCTTGTGATGGATGCCCAACCCCAATCATTGCCCTTACTCTGTAATTATTTACCGTACATTTGACAGATGAACTCTAGCGCGCCAAGTAAGCCAAGATGTCCCAGTAGATAAGAGTCAAGGAACGGTAAAGCAGCAAGTTCATGTCTTTCTTCCTAAGGTAGTTCAGTTTACACAGCTGAGTGCTTGTGCAAGGAATCGTTTTTCATCGGTATGACCAAGGAAGAGAATGAATTTCAGTTTAAATTCAGCCAGGGCAAATAAGTCATTTTTGTGCATTGTTATCCACAGCCAAGGACCCGGGGCCGCAAACTCATTTTACCATTTGGTGGGACTTTTGGGTAATAAGAATGGTTATGGGGACCTTAGCAGTGACACCCCCCCCCCCCCGGTTTGTTAGAGTGAAGCTTTAGGAGCATTACATATTGAGGGTTGGCTTAAACCCACGGTCACAATTTCTGTGAAAAAAAGAGAATAGGTTTCTATAAAGTTTCATTTCAGAAACTTTCTGACTATATTTTGAAATAACTTCTCTATTTCCCCAGTTGAATTCATTTAGACTGGTTTCAGTTATGGTGGAAGGCTTACTGTTTTGAATTTTTGATAGTGCAACTATTGAAAGTAGTTCGTACTCAGTTTTCTTTGTTGGATTGTGCGAATATTTGTGCTGATTATGAAGTAGTGAGGCATTAATGTTCCTCCAATTCTTTCTCTTGAAATGAAGTTAAGCTTAAGCAGTTTATATCGATCTTCTAACTTACCTACAATCCTTAAATCGTCTGCTTACAGTAGTTCTTGTCGACCCTTTTGTTTTTCCTCGCTATCATCCCCACAAACATCTCTGAAACCCCTAATTCCGCTTTTTCTGAGGCCATCCAAATACTCAGCCACACTGCATGACCTCAAAAAGTGGCATGACTGGGCCAAAAATCTTGCAGAATCAATGGGGTCAACCTTTGAGCAGACTGACAATGGGCCAGACTCAAGTCTTCTGTGTAGGGAGCTCAAATGGCTACTGGAGGATGCTGTTGAAGACCACACTCTCTTTTCCCAAATGGGTGTTCAAAATGATAGGAGAGTAACGATAAGGGCAGAGGTAGATGATCTTTACAATCTATGGAGGCAGAGAATCCATGAGAGGAGGCCTTTTCAGTACATAGTTGGATGTGAACATTGGAGGGATTTGGTGTTGAGTGTCCAAGAGGGTGTCTTGATTCCTAGGCCTGAGACAGAACATATTGTCAATTTGGTGTCCGATGTGATCTCAAAAGATGATGAGTTGAAAGGAGGGGTTTGGGCAGATTTGGGGACAGGAAGTGGTGCTCTTGCTATTGGAATTAGTAGGATTTTGGGGACTGATGGGAGGGTTATTGCCACAGATTTAAACCCGGTAGCAGTTGCTGTAGCAGCTTACAATGTGCAGAGGTATGGTTTAAAGGTTAGTACATAGTACTTTAAATTTTCATGTTCATTGCTATCATTTATCACATCCAACAACAAAATTTTAGGCAGATAATAAAATTGGAAAGAAAACCAGTAACCTTTTAGACTAGTGTTGTAGTAACATAGCATTATTGCTTCTCGAAGAGTATTGGCATTCACATTATATATGTTTTCTGGTGGCACTTCTTTTCTGTCTAGTCATTTATATGATCCACTTCAGGAAATTATTGAAATAAGGGAGGGATCATGGTTTGAACCGGTGAAGGATGTAGAAGGAAAGCTTTCAGGTCTTGTAAGTAACCCACCATATATTCCAAGTAAAGATATTTCTGGTCTGCAAGCTGAAGTTGGAAGACATGAGCCAAGAGTTGCTTTAGATGGTGGCGTTAATGGCATGGACGCTCTTCTCCATCTTTGTGATGGGGCTGCTTTATTCTTGAAGCCTGGTGGATTTTTTGCCTTTGAGGTATGCAGTTTTTTATTTTGTGTTAGTTTAGAATTATATTTTTACTGTAATGTAAGAGATAACAGGGCCAAATTCACCTCCATTTTGAATTGTGATTCATGCAATTTTAGATGACAATTTGACGGCCAATGGGATGGAAAATCTTTAGTATGAGTAGTCGGCCATGCTCATCTGTTCAAGGTTGTGAGAAAATAATTTTAAAATAAAGCACACTGACTACTCACAAGATTTCCAGAAACTTTGCATTTACTGTATGAATAGTATCACTTCACCAGCAATCTCAAACTCACAGAAGTTGTGCAACTTCACCATCACATCATGTGTAGGATATCATTACCCTTATCACTCTTTTCGGTCCTTATTGTAGGATACTTTCAACCGCTTCACATATCTTAATAAAATTTGGTTTTTTTTTTCTATATATAAAAAAATGAGATATACTTTTATTTTTATCTTTAGTTTTAGATAACAATACAACTACATTAAATATCTTCACGTTAATCAAGATAGGGTAAAATTGGAAAAAGTAGTTTAATTATTACAAAATGTCTTATATTTTTTATGGAAAATTATTTCTAAAGGTGTCTTATAAATAAGATTGGAGGGAGTATTATGCAAGTGGCATAGCTAGCTGCTCAATTGCAATGTGTGTCAATCAACCCGAATCTGTTGTAAAATTTGCAAGGACTTGTTGAGTGTGTACGTGTACATTTAATTTAATGATCAATTGAGAAGTTGCTTGTTTACTGGTCTATTTTGCTCGTGTCTCTTACATGAGTGGCTACTGTGCTCTTAACTTCTGTGATTTGCTGGTATGCCGTGATATTGTTAGGATCAAGTTTCGGTTAGATGAGAGCCGAATAAAGAAGACTAGATTACTGGATGAGAAATCTCCACCACTTAACTATCATTTAAAGCTTTTGGGTCTACTCGACGAGAGACTGACTTTGAAAGACCTAAATGGGATGCAAGATGCATTTATTTTGCAGTAGACAGGAGCTTATGATTATGAAGGTGCTTCCGTGTTGCCTCTGATTGTCTCTTTCATATTTTTACAGACAAACGGTGAGCAGCAGTGCGGGGCTCTTGTTGATTACATGGAAAATTATAAAAGCAGAAGCTTATGCAATTTTGAAATAGTTCCTGATTTTGCTGGTATTCAGAGATTTGTGACTGGATTCCGTCGACAAGCAAGTTGACTTGGAAATAGACGTGTACATTTGTAGAAAAGATTCAGAAACGTTGAACAGAGAGATTCACAACTTGTTCAACTGGGAGATGCAAATTTTCTTCTCAACATTTTGAGCTCTACTTGCTATGCCACTGATCAATGTGAACTTCTGACTTTTTATATGATAAATTACTCGGACTTCTGATGATGTGAAGGGTATATTATATACAAAAAACTTCTTCTGAAAATAGGAAGGAGGCATGTAAAATTCTTGCAGACTGTAAGAATTTGTTTTTTTGGGTACAAAGCAAACTCTAAGAGAATTTGGTGTAGCTTATTTATAGTTTTCAAGGAAGGTTTGTGTTAATTTTTTTGAAAATAGAAGGAATGTTTATGTGATAAAATTCAGGGCAAGATATTGTAATTTACCTTTTATTTTAAAGAAAGTTTCTATTGCTTTATAAAAAAGAAAGATCTGGGTAATTCAAAGAATTAAAAAAAAAAAAAAACCTATCTACATTTTGATATAAATTAAAGGGAAAATATAAATTTTACTCCCTACACTTTGTATATGATTTGCTATTCGTCCTTACATTTTATTTTTAGTGTTCTAAGTCCTTATAGTTCTCTTTGTTTGCACTTTAGATTTTTACACTTTTATGGGGGTACTGACGTGATATTAACAGAATTAATTATGCTGATGTGGACAACAACGTCGTTAATTATACGGTGACGTGTTAGTGAATGGCTTATATGCATTTTTTTTTGGGAAAAAAAGGAAAAAAAAGCTTATATGTACTCTCTCTTATCTTTATTATAAGACACTTTCAATCGATTCACATATCTCAAAAAAAGTTAGTTTTTTTTCTTGATATTATAAAAAAATGACATGTAATTTTATTTTTATTCTTAGCTTTAAATAATGACATAACTACATTAAATACCTTCAAGTTAATCAAGAAAGAGCCACATAAAATTAAAAAAAAATAGTTTAATTATTACAAAAAATATCTTATATTTTGAACCAAAAATTTCTTCTAGAATATGTCTTGTAAATAAGACCCAAGGGAGTATTTTTTTTAAATAACTAGAAAGTGAAAAAAAAAATTTGTCTTAATTCTAAACCTGAATAATACATCTTATATATATTAAAAGACAATAAACCATTCTGAACCTAATTCCAAACCTGATTTTGGAGTACAAAATTGCAGGAAAAGCACGCTGAAGTATAGAATTGTAGCAAATCTAAAAATGGACACGTGACAATTTTTTTTATAGCCTTAAACCCTACTTTTATATATATAATAATTATTAAAAAAATACATATTAGGTTTTCTTTCTTTTTTTTCCTAGAAAAAAATACACATTTGCCACTAATTGACACGTCACCATATAATTAATGGTGTTATTGTCTACATCAGCATAATTAACACTGTTAATGCCACGTCAGTGCCTTAATGAAAGTGTAAGGATCTAAAGTGCAAATTGAGAAAACTACAGGGACTTGTAACACCAAAAATAACGTGTAGGGATCAATAACAAATCACGTGCAAAGTATAGGGATCAAAGCTTATGTTTTTCCTAAATTAAACGACTTTATCTCTTACTCCTTGTTTCTGTTTTTGGTAAGCGGGCATGTTAGAAGAGCGTATCCTCAAAAGGTGCGATGTTCCTAACTTTTAAATTAAATCTCTTATCATAATTTCTCCAAATATAAGTGCTTGAAAGTGAAAGGAATGGGAGAATAAAAATGGAGAAGTATGTGAGACTTACATAGTGAGAGCAAACATAATATTGATAATAATAAAAAGGAAATTATAGAAAAATAAAATATGGAAAATTGAAAGAAAAAGTAATGGTGTACTATTACTACTGTTTTGTTAAGAGCTAGCACTCTGCTAATTGTTGGAAGACTTCAATGCTCCCTAGTGGATACGTGGTGCAAATAAAGGCGTTGTGTTGAATTTGCTAAAGGATAATAGGAGTTGCGCTAGGTAAAGTAAAGGATAATGCCAAGTCAAGGTTTTTGTATTAGGAAAGTAGATTTTAAGTTGCTGAAAGAGATTGTCTGAAGAGATGTGTGTAGAGTTGTCTGTAGAGTTGAAAGGGCCTTATGCATTTGGTGGCTTCTCCTTTTATAGGTACAAAGTGGCAATTTTCTCATGGCTCCATGCTCCACATTTTTAGGACCATTAGCTGCAATTTTCTCATGACTTCCTTCATTATTGCTTTTCCAAAATGGTGAATTTCTTGACCAATTCTCCTCCTCAAACACATTTTTCTAAAAGCTTTAGGTGGGCTTTAGGCCAAAGTGACTCTTTTTAGCCAAAATTAGATTTTAACCCAAATAATGCCTTTCATATATAAAGTTGGTTGAGTTAATCGTAAGCCAAATTTGTATGGATATTTGAATTATTCCATCTTTCATACATTCGTAATGGCATGCAATGTGGGACTTAGGAAGCCAACCTTTTTTAATTAAAGTTTCAAGTGGCAATTTTGCTTGAGGAGTTGGCTCATTCGTAAGGAAGGGCTTTGGGTGTGGGTCTTGCTCTCCCTTTAATCTTAAAGGTATGAAGTTCACCTCCAGTTCATTAGTCCTAAATAGTTGTGTAACATCCTGGGGAATTCAATTCCCTAATTAATTGAGTAAATGAAGTTAATTAAGTAAATTAATATGGTGTGTGATTATAGAGAACTAACAGGTGTTATAAGCTGTGATTTTAGCCCTAGGATTGAGTCTGAAGCGAAGTAAGGCAATCTAAATATCAAAAAGTAGGGAAAACAAAGAGAAATGGCTTTGTGCCACATGTCATGATGCATGAGCCATCAGAATGCTAGAGTCTCCTCTTTGTACTACATGCCATGACATGTGGTACAGGCACTACGGTGCTTAATTATGTAATATCCTGATTTTCTAGTCTTGAAACTAATTATTAAATAAGGATAAATTAGTAAATTAGTAAGTGATTAGAATTTTAAATGGTAAATTGATGTTTTGACTCCTTGTAATGTTGGATAAACAGATATGGGTGGAAGGGTCGCATTTTGAAAAGACGCGTGTGAGCGTGGTAAGGATTTTTCTCATTATACCACACGTCGCGGCTGAAGCTACCTGCGCCATTGCACACAGCATAGAAATTTGCTGATAAAGACATGGTCAGCTCATGAAAAATATAGAGAAGAGAAAGAGAAACACAAACAAAGAGGAAGAAGAGAGCAAGCTCTATTAGGCAAGAAGATTTGAGGCCTTTAGAGGCATTTCCTATCGATAGCTTATTGGGTAAGTCTCATATCGCCCATAGGTTCGATTTTGCACTAATTTCTCTTAGTTTAAATAATAGAAAAATTGAATTGAGAAATTTTAAGGGGTTTGTTTTTTATCCTTTGGTAATAAAAAGGTTCTTTAGAATCAAATTAAGGCTTTGATTAATTTTCACTTGCATATAGATTAATTGACATACATTATTATAAGTTAGATAAACCTCAGTCACTGAATGGTTGTACTCACCCCTTTCTCTTCAATATTACAGGAGTTAGCTCATTAAGACATGATCAAGGAAAACATACTAAAGCTTAGGATTTCAATCTTAAAATTGTAGGCCTATTTTATTTTAAGCATTGTATGTGCATAATTATTAATGATATTGCCAACTAGGAGCATATTCACACTTACTTGTATTATGTATTGGTTAATATTAAACTATGTATTTTGGGCCCTAAATAGGTATATGTGTAAATTGTGAGATCTAGAAATGACCAAAATATTAGTACAAGGAAGAAGATAGTAAAAATGTGATGGATGTCTATTAATTATGATATTGAGGCTTCCCCTTTTGTTTTTGTAATTATGGGAATTGAGTGTTGAAAATGTATTTGAGGTGTTAAGTTTGTGATGTAGTATATGGCACAAGGTTGTATTAGTCTATTAAGCATGATCTAGGCTGTATTTGAGGCTCTTGGCATTGGGTATGAAATTAGGACACCTAAGATGATTTTAATATGTGAAAAAGAGTGAATTGTAAAATGGGTGCCCAATTTTTGATTGATAAATAATTTAATTATAAAATCAATGTCATTAGTTAGAGCTAGGAGAAATCTCTTTATAGACACCTAAATTGCCTCGATCGGATATTAGGTGAAGAAATAGGATGTGTCGGAAGTCCACCGCTATTACTGCTACCGTAAAAAATGTGCAATGCACTATGGTGCATAGCACAAAGACAGATATGCCATACTGCACGTATGATAAGTGACAATACATGTCTTCTTTTTTGCACTAATTTGTTGTTTTCAACTATTATACAAGTGTTTTGATTCTTTTTCGGATTCCCATGCTTCCACACACTATTTTCACTCTAATTTGAATTTGTAAAGATGTTTTGACATGTTGAAAATCTTTGAAAACTTTGGATCCTATCTTGTAAATGTTACGAAATTGGTAATTCTCTTTAGGTTAACACCTTGATTACATTGATTTGGAGTTAATTGAAAATTAGTAAGGGACACTTTATAAGTTGGGTGCTCTTGAGTAGTTTCTCCTAAGCTTTTCATTTGTAACTGGCTCCAAAGTCCATGAGTTAACTTCTAACTCATCATTCTCACATAGCTCATCCTTCAAGCTATAAGAGGAGTGCCCTCGAGCTCTTCAGATATACTCTTGAGGGATTCTTAACAACTCTTAATAGATTCTTCTCTTTGTTGAACTCTTCATTTTATTTCAAGCTTTTTTTTCCCCTCAAAGTATTTATGGTAGAGTCAATTTTTAACTTGTTGATATTAGCTCTATATTTCATCTCTTGCTCGTAATGTTTGTGGTGCTCATTTATAGTTGTGATGAATCACCTTAGAGCATATTAGGTTTGATGCTCTATTGCATTGCAAAGTTCCCAATATCTATTCAGGGTTTCAATATGTGTAAAGTCCCCTCATGTAATCCAGACTTTACCAATCCTAACACACATTAACATATAATAACAATTGAATATCAGAGTTATAGCCTTTAATTATTTTCAAAATGTGGGATCCTAACTTTTTCAAAAATATGTTTAAATAATAGGACTAATGAAAGCATGAATGTAATTTTATGACTCAAAGAATGAATAATCAATTCCTCTAAAAAAAAGGCCATGTGCCGCAGCTCATACCCATACATTGCGGCATATGGCATAAAGTAACAATCTTTGGTTTTGTGACATGCACCATGGCTCGCACACCATGTGCCGCTACGCAAGTATTAGATTCTGCTGTCATAGCAGCTTTCTAATATAAACATATGCCGTGCGCCATTTTCATATCCAATGTCTGATTGGAGTGATTTAAGCTCCCACACAAAACTTATAACATATTTTATTTAATTGAATAAGTTTGGACATGATTCAATAGTCTGATCTAAAATTAGACACCCAGATGCAAAAAGTTACTTTTTCTTTCAA